CTGCTAGACAGCCCTGTACGATCACCTCAATTTCACTTACTCAACACCCCTCCACAACGGCTGTTGTCTTGTGCCTTGATGTAGAACAATTTACATGAACATGATTGTACAGTTCTGTTTCGAGACGATAATGAAGAGCCGAGCGAGGATGGAAGAGAACGAAGACAGATTAATATTGTAAACAATATTGTGAAAATCAAATTTCAGCAAGATTAAAATGTATTTTAGATACACTCGGGTTTGGGGTACTTGTGTTGTTCTTCAAAGGTTTTCAAGCATTTAGGAGCAGAAAGAGGTTGAAGGATGATCAGCTTATATCTGTACATCAATTGCTGGAATATTGATTAACAATGTCCATAAATTATAAATGATATGGCATTTATGAACCTCAAGTAAATATCAATTTATTTGTCAGAAATATGACAATATTTCCCAGTAACAAACACACTGTGTAGCACACACCTGTAATTTGGCAAAACATCCTAAAAAACAAATCCACACTCATATTCTGCACAGTTTGGGTCACTTTGTATGCAGCGGCAGTCTGCAGGTGTAAACACATCAGTTTTATTGGGAGTATTTTCTGACTGACACCACAGCGGCATGGATATATTGAGATACACGATGATACAATACAATAAACTGCATGGGTCATTGCTTAATAAAAGGCAGCCAAACCTGCAGTCAGACTTGTTCTTCTTTAGCTCCGGTGGAGGTAAATGCAACACCACAATTTATAATCAGAATCAGTGCAGACGAAGAATTCATCCAAAGCAAAAAATATTCTGCGAGAGATTGTCCTTTCGGCATCAGTGCAGAGAAATCAACATTCACAAGCTGCACTTCGACCAGCTGACAGATTTATTAACTGAACATTTTGGGGTTCTCTTGATTTTACAGCAGCACTCCGACAGGGGGCAACATAATTATCTCAAGTCAAGTTTCAGTGGAGCTCTGCAGAGTCTCACAGGTTGGACTCAAGTTACAAAAAACATAAAAAAACAAGTCTCCACCGGTGATAAATGAGAACTCTTGGTCAACCGCATCAACAGGTGCTCTGAGGCAGGCAGAGATTTACATTTTGTTTATTTGCACACATGATAATCTAAAAGGAGGAATAACATCTAAAAAAGTAAAAGTGACAAAGACATGTGATTCCATAAGGTTTCCATGTTTAAATTACATCATTCTTTAGGGCTGTCTGGCCAGCGATGAGGTGTGAGACAATGACCTGTTGAACTCTCATCATGTAGGTGTATCTCAAACAGAAGTGTTCAACCAGTGCGTCATAACAAGGACATGTGGTTTTGATGGGTGAGTTGATTAATGAGAAGTCCCACACTTACAAAAACAAATCTTCAGCTCCGTTGGCTTCCAGTTGAGGATAGAGCGCCCCAGATCTGACTTAATTAAAAATGGCAGAGGCCCTACCTTGAGACTTACTTTAAGAACTCCATAATCACAATACCAGAGCTAGCTGAACCTTTAGAGATTTAAAACCATAAAGGACAAGGTTCCTATTATGTGGAATAAACTGCCTCTTGTAATTAAGGAGGTGCAGAACCCAAAAGCCTTTAATTAAGGAAATGAGGCTGATAGATAAGGACATGGTCATTTAAATACACTGAAATCAGTTTATTTTTGTAAAAGGACACAATAAACATATACATCATATATTATTTATTGTTCTTTCAGTGTTTATCTCTCAGTGGATTGTTTTGTTTGGATGAGGTCACATGTTTCCCACTCCATCGAGTTGTGGAGAGGATGAACTGATGAAACAACAGGAACCAGGATGGAAATTAGTCCTGGACTTTGTCGTGTTATCGTTGACAATGTCTTGTATTTTCAGTATTTAAAATTTTGACAAATAAACTAAACTAAAAACGTTTATGCTGCTGCTGAAACACATAATACCTTCTAGGAACAAAAAAACGTAACAGTTTTCAGCTCAAACTGCAGAAATCCATGTAAAATGTCATTTTCTTCTCTTTTCTTTTAAAAGTAGCACTGAGGTCCCTTCGAGGGACTGATTCATTTTTTATATCATCTGCTCAAACCAGCCATCACACTGGTTGAACTGGGCAGCTCTTTGGTAGATTACTTACTGAGTGAAATGTATTACTTCAGGAAACTTTGAGTAAAGGTTACAAGAAAAAAAAACCAAAACAATGAAAAAAAGGTCATTAGTGAAAAATAACATGAACATGAGTCTTGGGGTATTTAGAAAATGAATTTCACATAAATCATGTTAATTGCACAAATAATGTTGATATTATTTTTGAGTAATGACCTTTTATTTTTCTTTTGTTTGTGGTTTTCATGTAACCTATACTCAAAGGTTACTGTAGCAGTTCAGATGCATTTTTACAATATTTACAATAGAAAGGCATAATTACTGTCGTCGCCAACAACAACATTACCCGTCTGTATTTAAGGTGCAGTGCTTCCAGAAAGAAATCTCTCACAGAGAGCTTAAAAAGTACTTAACAGCAAGGATGAATAAAGGTCGTTTCTTTTGGATGACAAACACGGGATGTAAGTTTGGAAATTGAGGGCATAATGAGCTCATTCAATAAGGGTGCAATTGAAAAACAGGATGCAGTCGATCCTATTTGGGTTGCACGGATGAATGCCGAGTGGGCACCGGAGCAAATAAATGGCATTTTGTCACAGTGTGCTCAAAGAACCAAGGTTTTTGTAAAACATCTCATTTTGTTCAGATGAATTGCACCATCAACACCATCATCAAATGATTGGTTATAAAGCCAAGTGTTCAACTGGATGACTTATTGATTCACAGATGAGAAGAAATGTATGAAAAAGATGTGAGCGGGAGCTTTAAAACCTTCATCTGCCAGTTGTTTTCACAGTCTTTCCACTCATCTCTCTCTGTCTTACTATCTGTCCGTCTGTCTGGAGTCTTGCTAGAATCCACATGGAAACTTTTCCTGCATGACTGAGGGAAAAAATAAACCCCCCTCCCTCACTTCTGATAATTGAGGGGAACGGGAGGTTGAGGACTGATTTGTGGGTCGGTTTGGTTTTAAGCCTCTTTCTCAGCAATAATCTAACAATCCCACTATGCCAATGAGAATAGCAGTCCTAATGGCACACAGCTGCTTTGAATGGGGCCCTTCCAGTTGAAAATTAGATGGTTCGTATAAGAGAAACCAAGAAATAAGCCCCCCCATCTCCACATAGAAGACGTGTCGCTCGTCCAGTTCCCAGAAACCTACACCACAAATGGATTTCAAAACCTGAGGCTTTGGTAACTGCTTCTTTTTAATGTTTTAAAGGATGACTTTCACATTTTGGGAAATAGAGAGCTTGAGTCATGATGTCATATCCAGACTGGCCTGCACCCCACTAGCTTCTTTAAATCAATGCAATCTCTCAGTGAGTGTTTCTTTAAAGGTAAAATATACAGGATGGAGTATTCATTTTTTGCAATGTAAAGATAAAGTGACTTGAGCAGAGAATAAAGTCACTCTCCCTCTGTGTGTTATAACCTGAGTCCTTTCTACAGCCTCTCGACCCGCTTACTCTCCAACCATGACATTTAACCTGCGATTGTCTAGGGCTTATGGGAAATGGTGTTCATTAATGGCAGCTGAATAGAGGAATGTAGAACAAACAGTGATATTTCTATATTAAAATGACGGTCCTTATCTAAATATATTGAGTAAAGCACCGATGGATTAGTAAGATATACTAATTAGTTAAGAGCTGGAGGACATGGTGGCCAATTTTGTTTACCTTTTGTCAAAGCCAGGCTAGTCGTTTCCCCCTGCTTCCAGTTTTTATGCTAAGCTAAGCTAACGATCTTCTGGCTCTAGCTTCCTATTTAGCGTACAAACTTAAGAGTGGCATCAACCTTCTCACCTAAGCCTTGGCAGCAAAGCGAATATGCTTATTTTATCAAAATGTAACTAGTTAGTAAAGACTGGGGTCTCATTGAGAATTACCTTTACACAGAGCACTGTGCCTCTAAATGTGCTTCAATGCACTACGCTGCTGCATTTGCAAGGAAATGAAGTGAAATTAGGGAGGAAATTAGCTGTTTACATTCAGTTTTAAGCTAAAGCTAATATTTATTGACTCTACATAGTGTAACATGCCCTTATGTGCACTTGGGAGTGCGTGCGGAGCCGCCCCCTTCACATAATCACGTGATAATTATTCACTCAAGAATACAAAGCAATATTAACTGCAGCAACACAGACCAGCTGAGTCTCGCTCATAATGGGAACCAGCCGACCGCCGTTTATATTTCCATTTTCCTTTCTCATTTTTAAAGCTCCCAATTTTTCCATAAGGTAGTCATTTCCAAGGCCGATGTGAAACCAGACACCCCGGAGCTCTCGTGGTAAAGGTCCAGAAACAACTTCAGGCCGGCCCGACATCCTCTCACCTTCCCAATTCCCCTTTCCGTCTTGTGCGACTGTTGCTGGGAAGGTAAACACCTTTTCACCGTGTCAGAAATGGGATTTCACTCTGCTGCCATTGCAGTTCCTTCATCTCCCCCTTATTTCTGTCCCTCCCTCTCTTCGTTCTTCATCTCCCCTCCCTCCATTTGCTGCCACATCTGGAACCCAGCTCCTCATTTATTTATGTGGTCTGGGTTGCTTTTTTTTCAGTCTTCCTTAAAAGTCCTTTACCTTGTCTTGTTGGCAGTTTCTCTCCATCTGATGAGGTCTGCAATTACATCTCGCCATAACTGGTCACTCTGCAATTACATGCCCCACCACATAATCTTTCT